ACAGATCACAAGAATCTGACGTACTTCAGGCAACCGCAGGACTTGAACCCAAGACAGCGAAGGTGGCAACTCTTCTTGTCCATGTTCAATTACAAGATTGTCCATACGCCAGGATGACAAATGGTGCAAGCGGACGCGCTTTCACGATTGTCCGAATTAGACAATCGACAGGATAACAAGTCACCTGCAATCCTGCTACCTGACGATCTCTTTATTGGTGCTATCGATACAGATATGGCGGAACAAATCCGACAAGCACTAACAAAAGACCTATCAGTACTTGTGTACAAGGACGGTCTAATGGAAGAACTCCCAGTTCCACGAGGAATGACGAAGGACGACATCAAGGACGCTGACAACGGTTTAATCACCATCCATGGATGCGTATATGTCCCAAACAATACAGCCTTGAAAAAGGAAATTGTTCGGCGATACCATGAGGCCACTCCCCATGGTCATCCAGGAATCTGGGTTACGCATCAACTAGTACGCAAAGATTTCTGGTGGCCAGGAATGTATCGCTTCATCCAAAGCTACATCAATGGATGTGCTACCTGTCAGCAATCCAAAGCGGTTCGAAACCCGGCCAAAGTTCCACTACAGCCCATAGGCCCTTCGCCCAATGCGCTACCTTTCAAGCAGGTTAGCATGGACTTTATTACAGATCTACCGAAAAGCGAAGGCTTCGATTCAATTATGGTCGTGGTAGACCATGGGCTTAGTAAGGGGGTAATTCTATGTCCCTGCAAGAAGACGATCACTGCTTCGGAAACCGCCGAGCTATTCAGACGACAAGTTTGGAAACGCTTCGGGTTACCCGATAAGATCATCTCTGATCGGGGAACGCAATTTGCATCCAAAGTATTCCAAGCACTGTGCGCTGCGCTCAAGATCAAGTCGGCTATGAGCACAGCCTATCATCCACAGACGGATGGTGAAACGGAGCGAATGAATCAAGAATTGGAAACATATCTTCAAATGTACTGTGCGGAGCAACCGCATCAATGGAATCAATTCCTATCTGAAGCAGAGTTCGCGCACAATCTTCACACTCATTCAGTGACAAAGAAGTCACCATTTGAAATATGGTATGGCTACGAGCCCCGAGGAATGCCAGAACTGTTCCCTCAGGACGAGATCCCCGACGTGGATACAAGACTCAAGCTTCTCAGCATGGTCCGCAAGGAGGCCACAGAAGGAATCATCAAGGCAAAAGCCCGTGTATCCACCAGGATCAAAGGAGGATCCCCGACATTCAAGAAAGGAGACAAGGTCTGGCTAGAAGCCACCAACTTGAAAAGACCTTACAAATCGAACAAGCTAGCGCCGAAGCGAGAAGGACCATTCAGGATCAAGGAGGTTCTGGGACCACTCTCGTTCAAGTTAGACCTTCCTGCGACATGGAAGATCCATCCGGTGTTTCATGCTGCGCTGCTCACGCCGTATCGGCAGACCAGTACACATGGGGAAAGTTATTCAACACCGCCTCCAGATCTTATCGAAGGAGAGAAAGAATTTGAAATCGAGTCTATAATTGGACATCGACTACGGCGCAGCAAAAACGAATATCTGGTAAAATGGACTGGATATCCGCTCAGTGAAAGGTCATGGGTAAAAGAGACAGAAATGGGCAATGCAGGAGAGTTGCTGAACGAGTATAAAAGGGAGCACAACTTGGCCTGAACCCTCAGTCCATGCCCCAATGCCCGTGCAACATCCCGAGTTTCTCGAATCTGCTATCACCACTTTTGCGCATCTTATCGAAGTTCTCGAAGACGTCGAATCCCACTCCTCCCACGATCATCGTTACCAGGTCTTCTAACAACTTGGAGTCTATCTCGCTATCAGAGGGGCCGGATTTGCCATCGAGGATCTTGCCGACTTCGACCATACCAACGTCGAGTTCAACACGACCCATCCAAATCATGATGGACCATCTCATCCAGAGAGCGGACGACGTCCACAAAGTCCACCTCCTGGATGGCTTCAGGTCAACTCGACGACAGCCATATCTAACCCCTCGCCCCAGCGAGCTAATCAGAATTTCTTACCCATTTCCATTCCAAACGGACAAGCCGAAGGTAACACTAGAGGACAACGTCGATATCGACCTAGACGGAACATGGGGAACGTTCATGAGAATGAACTACCCAATGTACCTAATGGAGAAACTGCACCTGCCCCGGCTAGAGCCAGATCGACGCCGGACTATCCTAACAGCCGTCTACGCCGGCCTTCCAGTGGGAATCCTCCCACCGTCGTACGCTCTAGATCATCCGCTACACTTTGATATCTTACCGGCAGCACTCTCATTCGCTCTGGATGCATTCAGTGTCATACACGGTATCGTATCAAGGACAATGACAATACCAGCAGAAGAATGTACGGAAATGGTGAACATTCACATCACGGACTGGTACGAAGAAGAGGAACGGCTGCTCGAAGGTATAAGTAGCGGTCCTCCTTTTTCCTTACTGGACCATCACCTCCTCCTACTCGAGTGGGAACTCTACGAGGAAATCTACCCTTGGGACAAAGAGAACCGCCCCGCTATACCACCCCCGCCAATGTCGCTCAACATCCATGTCACCACCACCGTCACTCGCAGCGCATTGGAGCCAGGAATACTTCTCGACAGCGATGGAGACGAACTCCCGCTGTTAGGCAACCTTAGCGACGAAGCACTGGCTGAGTCATGGAGGAGTGCACGTTGGAAAAACGATGAAGATGAGACAGGTCATTGGACAATGGGAGGATCTTGGACGACGGGGAGAGCTTGGGGTGACGACGATGAACAGGCAAGGAGTGCCGACGATGAACAACCCAGCTACCCCCACCGTCCTGGTGCCACCTACCCCTACAATGCCACACCAGAGGACGGATCGCAACCTGCACCCGCCGACACCATCAAGGAGCAGATCAGGTACACTCGAACAGTCAAGTCTTCGAGCAATCCAGCGGCAGGGCAGGTATCGCTTATCGCCCCAGACGTGGCCTCACCTTACGATGTCTTCATCGCCATGCCACTAACATTCCTCATGGAATGTGATGGCCATTGTCTCTACGTCCATCGTACGGGCACGGGTGACTTCGCCACCTTCCATGCCTTCATCTTCACTTGGGACAACCAGAAGGTCGCATGGCACCTATACTCAGAAGACTCACCTCATTGCGTCTTCAGCCAATGGATCCCTCTGCTTTATCCACCACCCATCCCAGGCATGCACGACTGGCATCCAACACCCAACCGGATGCGCATTCTCAGCATTCGCTTCGCGGGCAAGGAAGAAGGCGTCGAACAATATGAGGTCGAACTCTTTAGGACGTTCTCCGATCAAGTCCACTACGGAGATGCCAAGACACCTCGTGAGTTCACGTCGGTCATCTTCCAACCCCTCGTTGCCATGATCGAGCGGCCTGGATGGCTTACCGACGGCGTCGAAGCACTGAAGGCGGTCCTCTATGAAGACGGATCCATCTCGCACTGGGCGCCCACCGAGTTCCACCCTCAACCTCAAGAGGATCTCGACGAGGGCTGGGAGGTCGTACCCCACACCACCATCCCAGTTTATGGCTATGTGGGTGTCCGCGACGGGCGATGAGGGGATAGTTTGGTGAGTGGTCATCAAGGGTCTTGCCGGTTGGAAGGGGGAGCTTGTGTTACGGTTTCAGCGCTTCATGGTCACGTGACAGTTTATGTTGCACGTGACACTTACTATTTATGATTCATAGGTCTTGTGGACATATTCTAGGGTTAGCAGTTTTTGTTTTTACGATTTACTCACTCAGGCCATGCAAACAAGACCTTCGTGTTTCAGGTTTCTATTTCACCTGTACTAACATTAGCTCGCCAATTACTTG